TATTACATGTATGTATGTACGTTATATATTTGTCATTTTATTTATACTAGATATACTTATGTAAGAAATATAATTACAGATACATACCTCTATATATATATATATATATATATATATATTATATATAAAATAAATATATCACTTAAATGCTACACACATAAATATGACATAAACATTTAAGTAGTATTAAAATGTTTCAAGTAATTGTGCAGATCGATGCCGGATCAAGCTGCGGGCGTGATTATCCGCTACGTGTCCCGTTTTGCGCGATGACTTTGAATAATCATGACAGAGCCAAGGAAGACAAACATAGGCGTCACTTCAGAACGATTTTGGAAAGTTATCGATATTTTCAGCATCCGTTAATTCTAAATTCACTATTTTACATTTGTACGATTTTCTAAAATTTAATACGTTTCGCTTGAATTTTCATCGCTCAAGATGCATCAAGACGCGAATAATATTGTATATCGTAGACGTTGTAATTTCTCGTTTTTCTTGGATCGAGGTTTGACGTTCGATTCCGCGAGCGCCGTTGATCGCGACCGCGTCATCGATCTCTCTCTCTCTCTCTCTCTCTCTCTCTCTCTCTCTCCCTGCCCCACCGTACATGTCGCGTATACCGGCCTACCTTGTGCGCCTTTAATGAGGCCTCATTGCACGCCAGGGTGACGTCGACGAAGGCCTCGGTCTGCAGAAGCTGGTGCATCACCGACGTCATATTCGATTGGTAGTTGTTCCAACGCAGGCAGTAGTGCTGCCCGGCCATGCCGCCGCTGCAACAGAAAAACGGAAAAGATCGATAGAGTGCTTTTCTTTTTTTTCTTTTCCCGAGTGGCTTTCCTTTCGTGTTCGACGGATTCATCGAAAAGTCATCGGCGGCGACGACTCTAAGAGACGACGAGAATCCTCCCCCCTTCCTCGCTTTTTCCCAAGCCGCAATAGTCATCCCCGTTGTACCGTTTCCCCTGCCACGAAAGATCGATCCGCGAAGAACGGGATAGTACCTGTAGTGCACGCCCCAATAACGATCTGTCTCCATGAAATATTGGGTTTCTTTTTCCGCCACGGCCACCGGGAGAGAAGATATCTCCAAGAGGTTTTATGTACCGGACGGAGGACGGTATCCACGCGAGCGCGAAAGAGAGACGAGAGAAAGAAAAAGCAAACGAGAGAGAGAGAGAGAGAGAGAGAGAGAGAGAG